GATAATTGGCCGGCAGACCTACGCCATCGCTGCCTCACACACACCCGTTCCTTCCCCAGAAACCAGTACCTCATCCCTCCCACCGGGGCATTCTGGTTATGTACTACAGGGCTCACCCCTTGTGTTTCCACAAATGTACTCCTTGCAGGGGACAGCTCCTGCATCCTCATAGACCTTATGCCACGCATTAAATATCTCCCTCCTGACATGATCCCCCTCATGAAAAGTCGATATAAACGGGAACCTGTCTCCCTGACCCTGGCAGCCTTATTAGGGATAGGTGTGGCAGGGGGGATAGGAACTGGTACAGCAGCCCTCATTACTCGGCACCAGTCCCGCCAGCAACTCCTTGCAGTTGTAAACCAGGATCTACAGGCCCTAGAGACATCTATAACTGCATTACAACAATCTCTCTCGTCTCTATCTGAAGTAGTGTTACAAAACAGAAGAGGCTTAGATCTTTTTGTTTTTAAAAGAAGGGGGTCTCTGCGCCGCACTTAGAAAAAAAATGTTGTTTTTACACTGATCATACTGGGATTGTAAAGGATGCAATAAAATGTTGAGAGAGAGAATCAGATCTCGAGAGCCCCCTTCAAGTGAAGCCAAAGTGTTCTCTTTCTGGGAATCAATCCTGCCCTATATTCTCCCTTTATTGGGACCCCTGGCCGGATTCATTATAGTCATAGCTATAGCCCCTTGCCTCATTAACCGAGTAACCCGGTTTGTGAGGGCCCAGATTTCTCAAGTAAAAGTTATGGTGCTACGTCAACAATATGATCCCTTACCCATACAGGACCTTTAAGATTAAATGTCATTTGCAAGAAAAAGGGGGGAATGAGAGAATCGACTCCCCGTTTGTGATGTAACACCCCCCCCGAGCTATAGAACAGAGCTGTAAGGAATGTCTCACTCCCTAATTCCTCCTTGAGATATCGGAGCAGGACAGGAAGGAATGCATTTGCTAGTCATTAACCACAAGATGTTCTGTGTTCTGTAAAGGAAAAGATAAGTAAAGGAATGTGCTGTTCAAACGAGACCGAGTTATACCTGGCACTCTGAGATCAGACCAGGACCCTCAGTCTCCATGGTTACTCAGCCCCAGACCCCTTGAATCAGCATCTGCCAAAGTCCTGCACCGTTCAAAATTAAGCAATGCGATCTGCTTCTGTAAGCCTGCTTGCTTCCCGCCTGTGCCCTTAAAAACCCTGCACAAATTCCCCTCGGGGCCCTCCGCACTCGTTTGCCTGGAGGACCCCATGTGCATGGAAATAAACTTTTTTTCCCTCACCAAGAGTTGAGTCCTTGGGGTCTCTTTCCCCGCGGCGGCGGCCCTAACACACAAATGAAATGATTTTCTTTCCTTGCAGTTTAAATTACTTTTGTTTATAGGTACCAGGGATCAAAGTTACAACCTAGCACTTTCCAGGCAGACGTTTATGCCTGCTGAGCTTAAAGCCCTGGCCTGTATTAATGAATATTTTAAATGTATTAACATCACTTTATCCATTCAAATACTATTGTGATTTTAGCAAAGGATGTCAATGTAGACAGAAATTGATATACAATCATAGAGGAACTGGAACCTTCAAGAGTCAATGCAAAAAACTAATACAACAATCACTGCTACAGGCACAGTTGAAGAAAGCCAGACCTGAAGGTGAAGATGAAGTGACCAGGTCTACATGCTCTTGAAGAGAGAAACAACAGCTTGAAATGTACTACAGTTACCACCACCTCCTCCAGGAAGTTCAGATGGGCATCAATTACCATAATCAATGACCAGAACAACTGGACTATTGTTCCCACAAAATGCCTTGGCTCTTCCCAGGTACCTTTTCTGGCTGACTTGTTCTCCTGATGAATAATATTAGTTAAGCAGCCATAAGTTTATAGGTTGAATGTAGTCTGAGACCCACACTGTACCCACATTGTGGCTTTCCTGTATAAATGACCCCTGACGATAGGTCTGTGGACAAAACACTGAAGACCACTCCTGAAAATTCAAGGCTATTCTTCTCTCTTTTTTTCTAAGAAAATTTTTGAACCTCTTTTGGTTTGTGACTTCCTTTCTCAGTGTTGTGAGCCATAAAACTTGGTGCATTTGACATCAAACAGGGCAGGATTATATTTTTCTTATTTCAATTAAATATGAAATTCTGCTAAAGGCCATGTTCCAAAACCTGGATTTCAAGCTGCTTGTTTGCCATGAATTTAAGATTTCCATGAGCTTTTAAAAGTTCTCATTCTAGTGAACTGCAAATGTATTGGAGGAAGGAGGTCATTGTTGTGCTGTAGCACAGTAGGTGCCATTCCTAAATCTGTTTTTGTCACTGCCTCCTGGATGCCACTACATAGCCTTCCTTCTTCTGCAGCATCATTCAATAAATCCCATTTTGCATAAGTCAACTTTCACTCAGCTCTATAATTTTTTTAGTAGTCTTTCTGTCACCTTGGTTGTTTATGTTTTTCATTTTAGTTTTTTGATTTAAAGACATAGTCTCACTTAGGAGTTCTGGCCAGCCTATTCACTATGTATGTTAGCCTGTCTTTGAATACATGGCCATTCTCCTGTTTCAGTCTCTTCATCACTAGGGAAAAGAGGTGGGCATTATAACACATGGCATTTGTCTTTTTTCTCCTCTACTTTTCACTATTATTCTTTCATTTCAGTGGCAATGTCATTTAATCCTGTTGTTTGCTTGTGTTAGTAAAGGTTTCTGCAGCTTGAGTTGAGTTTGTGAACAACAATATAGGAAGACAAGCAAACCAATTGAGAAATGTGGAATTTCATTAGCTGGTCTCAAGACTGAAGAGACCAAGAAAGCTCGTTCCATCTGCTGCTTCCCCTCCCCTTCTCCCTTCAAATCTAACTAGGTTAAGTTTTAACTTCCTAGAGGCCACAAAACAAAGGCCTGAGGTAATAGCTCCTGACATCCTGGGTCTTCCCTATCCAGAAGCCCCATCACAAATTGTGTTAATTACATCAGATTGTATTAGATTGTACATTTTTCACAAAAATAGCTTCGTTTATATCATAGTAATACCTGTAACTTGGTATTGTATCACAGTAATACCTGTAACTGTAAATGTGTGTCTTCCTTTTTCTCTGGGTAAAAGATTGATATGTTAATCAATGCTCTCTTCTGTAAAGAGTTGTAAAATCTTACCTAATTGATATGCTAACCATTGTTGCCCTCTACAAATAGAACGGTTGTGGTGCTAAAGTAAGGTAAATAAGGTTGTTAATTGCTGTTAGACTTTTCTATTCAGGAGGTCTTGTGGTGCCAGTTTCCAAACTATGTGCAGCTCCACCCCCACAGGAACCAGTGTTCTTAAACAGTTAAGACAAACAGTCTTAACCTAAGGCAGATCTCTCAGTCATGAGACAAACACCCATTTCTAAGAAATGCCACCCCTTCTAGGGAGACACTCCCTTGCCCCACTAAAAAACCCAATCCCTTAAGGACAGCTCACCATCAGCTCTGCTCTAACCGCTATGATTGGCTTCTGTAACAACGCTTGCTTGCTTTGTTGTTTTAGGCCTTAAAAGGCACAGCCCTGCTCCAGTAAGGGGTTCTCGGTTTCCACCTGTTTGGAGGACCCCGTGTACACGGAAAAATAAAAACCCCTTTTGTTTTTACATGAGAGCGAGGCCCTTGGAGTCTTCCTCGCGACACCGGTCTAACAGGACCACTTGTATAAAAAACCCCTATTCCCATTTCAGGATCTAAAGAAGAGGCTTTGAACTGGAAAGTTACAGATATTTTAAAAGATAGAATCACAAAAAGATCCTGTTGGAAATCATTTAGCTAGAATCTTATAATAATTTTTGGATGACAACTGTATTCTGCTTCTTTTGTTGAGCAGGTTAATTTTTTTCTTTGGGTACAGCTCATTTTGCTTTTCTGCTGGGTCTTCTACCCTGAGTGATTTTTCCATTTTCTGGGTGAAATACAGGGCACAAGTTAAATGCAAAGCTCAAGGTGGCATCTATTATGCCAATCTACAACACAGCTAAGTTATAAGCCTCAATATTTTCTAGGGTAAAACCACACATATCTATAATCCCAGCACTCAAGAGGCTGATGCAGGATGTCTGCTTTGAGCTTAGGGCAATTCTGCACTCCATAAAGTGTTCAAATCTAGCTGATGTACGTAGAGAAAACCTGTCTCAGTAAAACAAACTAAACTAAACAAATAAAACCCACATAACAGCTGAATGGAGACTGATTTCTTAAAATCTTAATTCCAAATCTTGGGGATTAATTGCTTGTACATACACATATTTTGAGACAGCAAATTTGATGCCATAATGCAACTCACAGCTAATGTAATAGCCAAATAAGAGCACTGATTCTTTTGCTGAGTCACTGCAAGAGTCCCTGTGTGCTGGGTTTAGCGGCTCATGCCTGTCATCCCAGCACTCCAGAGGCTGAGGTGGGAGGATCCTTGCGAGTTTGAGACCAGCCTGGGCTGCAAAGTGAGCTCAAGGCCAGCCTGAACTGCATAGTGAGACACTGTCTCAAAAAAAGACAAAAAAAAAAAAAAAAAAAGAGTCGCTGTGCATTGTCTCTAATGCAGAGCTCATAGTGAGAGCCTGCAGGACCAGCATCCTTGAAGCACAGAGGCAGACAAATATCTCATCAATCACTTTGATGTAAGACCAATGATATCTCTTCAAATCTCAATTAGGCAACTGAGTCCTTTGTTCTTAATATACTTAAGCAGCATTTTGATATTTGAATTTGGTTTCACAGAACAAAACATAAGTAACATCAAATATGGTACATAAATAATAACTCAAATGTTCATGGAAAACTGCTGTAGGTAAAAAACGTATAAACAATGAAACCAGGTGCAAGCTTCAAATTATAGCTCAGTGTCAATAAATGATCACTTTCCATTCATAAATAAGAAATATATCTTGGGAGGCTGATGCAGGAGAACTGTCTTGAGTTTGGGGCTAGCATAAGTTACAGAGCAGTCTGAAATAGAGAAACCCTCACTGAGATACTGCACAGACAATGTGAAACTTGAAAAGTGACTGCATAAGACACCTTTGGTTTGCTTTAAAAAGTTATAGCCATACAATATAGAAAAATTCCACAATATTCAACATTTTCTGAGGAACAAGGTTGATATCATCTATAACATACAGAAAACAGTTTCAGAGCTGGGTATTTAGCTAGCAGCATGAAAACCTAACCTGCAAGCTTGAGATCATGTGTTCGATCCTTGGTACAAAAAAAATTCAAATTTCACCTTCATGATACTGGGTCATAATTCAAGGTAATCAAAACTAGATCTCAAGTGAACAACACAGAATTCATGGGTTGACAGGGATGTGGAATACTGATTCTTACCAGAGCTTGTGCTATTCACCTCAAGGAAGGTATCATAATTTAACTTTAACTTCATGCTTACCCTAAGAACTACCTGACTTTCAGTGAAGACCCTCTCTGTTGTATGTCCTGCTATTTGCACACTGTGTCCTGCCAGTCACTTCCACATCCTTTCCATGCTCATCTGATCCACCCTAAGCAGAAAACCCTTCATGCCTTAACTACTGATATCCCTGCACAATTTCAATTTAGGGCATCTCTTTACACGAATTAGTAAAGTCCATTACAGAGCATTTCCATATTTAAACAATGTATATGATCAACCAAGCTATTAAATCACCTCTTCATTCAGAGATGACATCCATATTCCTTGCCATTCAGAAGGAAATCACGTGTATATGTTCATGCAAATGACTAAATTTAGGCATTTTTCAAAGAGAATTTATCACGCAGCCCTTTCTGGAATTTATCCTTAGCAAGCACACTTTACCCTGGCCTTGATGACACTTTTATATCTGCTTCATTTTTGTCAAAATTCAAACCTCTATGGCTATTCTCACAAACATAGATTATAAGCACATGTGTCACATAAAGAATGCTCAGAAATTCTTTGCACTGTTATTTATCATACACAGGAGTTCACCAGGTGTTTGGAAAGCCTTCCTCCACTGAAGTATATCACTACACATCTCTGAATTCTCATAATCTTTGCCAACACCTGTCATGGGGTTGAAAATGTGAGAACATAGTATAAATTTAGGTGATCACAAAATACATAAATGCATAACTTTAAGGAGAGCAGTTGTGGCTACGAGGTCCTACAGCACAGACAATTATAAACTTCTGGCTTTCAGATCTGTTGCTGACAGGAAGGAGAGCAGAGACCTGGCTTATTACAGCTGCACCCAGCTTGAAAACACATAGGAATCAGGCTCTCCTCATGCCCCGTCCTGGGCCCAGACTTGGAGGAGCAAGGGCAGCAGGTGATTTCAAAAATGGCCTTGTGGCCTGGTTATATCACAGTGGTGACAGCGTTCTAGGGACCCAGAACTGTCCTGGCCCCAGTGAGAGGTAAAAGGGACAGAGGATGACTCACTGCTAGCACTAGAGGACCTCAGGGTCTGAGGCTAAGCACACAGGCTCTAGACAGCACAGCTGCTTCTCACCACTTTTTTTTTCTTTTCTTTTTCTGTCTTTCTTTCTTTCATTTTTATTTTTTTTGGTCTTTTTCCTTTTTATTGGTACCGGGGATCGAACTTATGACTGCCTGCTTTTATGGCAGGCACTTATGCAGCTGAGCTAAACTCCAACCCCTTCAAACCACTTCTAACTGGTCTCAAGTGGATTCCACCCCATTTAACTGCTCCCATCCCATAACATCACCATTGCATAGTTTGGAGGTCTCCCAGGTTCTTTCTAAGCAGTCCACAGTGAATAGAAGCAAAAAATAGTGGTCTAGCAAACATCTAGCGCTCCCTTTTTTGCCCTGGCTTTGCAATTGACGCCATGACACCGGAAGAGACCACCTACCTTGGCCCGCCTGATTGGACAGTTCTTACAGCCAGCCTCTTCATCACTGATTGGCTCCTGCTCTCCTGCCTGCCTTCCCCACCAAGAATAATTACAGAAAAAAAACCCACCCTGGAATTGTGGATCCCCAATGAAAGATGGTGGAGGCTCCTGGAGCTGGCTGTCTTCTGGAATGTTGACCTCAGCTCATCTGATGGGTATTTGCACTGAAAGTCTTTACCTCAGTCCTTGTTTTTTCTCCCAAACCCATTTTATTTGAAAGTTAAAAAGTAAAAAAAGGGTCCAGGGATTTAGCTTAATCGCCTGCCTGGCAAGCTAGAGGTCCTGCATTCCATCCAAGATCTGGCTACCACAAACTGTGCTGCTATAAACGTGGGTGCACATATATCATTGTGGTATGATGATTTTTATTCTTTTGGGTAGATACCCAGAAGGAGAATAGCTGAGTTGAGTGGGACCTATAGACCTAGTTTGTGTGGAATCTCCACACTGATTTCCACAGTGGTTGCCTTACCACCAACAATGGAGAAGGATTCCTTTTTCCCCCACAACCTCTCCAGCATTCGTTATTGCTTGATTTCTTGACAGTAGGCATTTTTTTTTTCTCGGGCAAGGTGACATATCATGTTATTTAATTTGCAGTTGTTAAATGTCGAGTGATGCAGAATATTTTATCACATATTTATTTGCTGTTTCTATTTTTTCATCTGAGAACTGTGTATTTCACCTCAGATGCACATTTTTGGATTGGGTCTTTAAATCTGGGAAGACTGAAATTTTTTAGTTTTCCGTGCTCTCAATAGTAATACTTTGTCTGAGGAAGAGTTGGCAAATATTTTCTCCCACATTGTGGGTTGTCTTTTCACTCTGTTAGTGATTTCTCTTGCTGTTAAAAAGTTTTCCAGTAAGGTGAGATTCTCACTTAATTGTCTTTGATTTTTGCTGTTCAATCCAAGTTTTCTTCATAAAGTCTTTTCTTACATCAATGTCTGCAAGAGTTTTACTTACTCTATCTTGCAGCAGATTTAATGTTTCTGTTTTAATATAAGATCTTTGATCTCTTCTGATCCTAGCTTAATACAGGTTGAAAGATAATATTCATAACGTATAGAGCCAGGTTTTCCAGCACCATTTATTAAAGAGGCTGCTTTTCTTCCAATGACTTTGTTTGGCACCTTTGTCAAAGATAAGATGGTTTAGTGGTCTGGGGTTGTTTTTCCATCTTCTAATTTGTTCCTTTGATCTTTGGGTCTGGTTTTGTTTGTTTTGTTTTTTGTCAGTACCACATCTTATTTTTTTAATCACGATACCTTTATAGTATAATTTCAAGTCAGGGATTTTGATGAACCCTATCTTTCCTTTGTTTCAAAGCATCACCTTTGCTACTGTAGGTCTCTTCTGGTTCCAGATGAATTTTTGGAATTATTTTGTGTTATTCTTTGAGATATGCTACAGGGTTTTGATTGGGATTGCACTGAATCTGTACAATAGCTTTGGAAGTATGGTTATTTTCACTATATTGAATTTCCCTACCCAAGACTATGGGATAGCTCTTCATTTTAGAATATCGTCTTCAATCTCCTTTTTGAGAGTACTGTGGTTTACAGTATAGAGATCCTTTACATCCTTTGTTAGATTCATTCCTAAGTATTTCATTTTGTTGGATGCTATTGTAAATGTTATTGTTTGCTTGATTTCTCTTTCCATGAGTTTTTTATTCTTGTTTATGAAATCTAGTGATTGTTGAGTGTTGTCTTTTTAACAAGCTATATTACTGAATTTTCTTCTTTAACTACAATTCTTTTGGTGGAATTTTTATAGTCTTCTAAGTAGAGTATCATGTCTTCTGCAAATAATGATAGTTTAACATTTTCATTTCTATCTTTATTCCTTTTATTTCTTTCTATTGTGTAATTGCTCCAGCTAGTTTCCATGACTATATTGAATAAGAGCGGAGGCAGTAGACATCCTTGTTTTGTTCCTCATTTTAGAGTGAAAGAATTCAGTTTTTGTCCACTTAGTATGAGGTTGAATGTTGGTTTGTAATAAAAGGCTTTTATCAGATTGAGATAAAGATCATCTCTCCTGATTTTTGTAGGTTTTTTATTATGAATAGGTGATGGACTTTGTCAAAATCATTTTCTGCATCTATTGAAATGATCAAATGATTTTTGCTTTTGGATTTGTCAATACGGTGTATTATATGTATGGATTTATGTATGTTGAACCACTCTTGCGTCCCAGGGAATAATTCCACTTGACCATGTTGTACAATCTTCTCGATGATATTCTGCAGTCTGTTTGCTAGTATGTTATTGAGGATATTGCTTCAATTTTCACTAGGCAGAATGTTCTGTAATTCTCTTTCTTATTTGGATTGTTCTCTGGTTTTGGTATCAGGGTAATGCTTGCTTCCAGGAATGAATTGGGAAGAACAATTTCCCATTTGATTTCATTGAATTTTGAGAAGTGGTGGTGTTAGGTCTTCTCTAAATTTCTTATTTATCCCTGCCATTTCATGGCTACCCCTGCTTTCTTTCAAGGATCAGTGGACTCTTTCCATAATGGGCTGCAAATATTTTCAGGATTAAGGTTCAATCCTCCAGGAATAAAAAATCCACTGATGTCAGAAAATATTCTGAGAACAGGCCAGGACAGGACACAACAGAACAGAGAGTCGGAAGTCTGTGTTAGAGGCAGCAGACTTCATCGTAATGATTTTCACTCGTTTCTATTAATTTTCCACCTAGAAACCCAGTATGCGAAAACAAAAGGAGCATAGTTACCGTGTAAAGTGAAGACATTACATTTAAATGATAGTAATGGTCTGCAACAGAGTAAGGATGAAATAAAAGCTAGCATCAGTTCTCCAAGACAAGCTTGCTACTCATTCAGACTCATATAATTTCTGAATTCTGAAAGTGATCATATTGCCAAGCATGGGGGTGACAATTATTGCTGAAATGGAACCAAATTCCTAATACAATTAAACATTTCCTTCTGGTGAGGCAGGGACACCCAAGGACTTCACACTCTAAGTTCCACTTGCCACATAGTTCCCTTGTCACTAATTGGCACTCAGCTCTTTGTTGTACTCTACTCAAATAAAATAGGGCCCCATGATGAAAAAACG